GCCCGCCTTCTAGACAAGATCTGACCGAGCCGTAACAGCAAGGACGGAGGCAAATCACCGAAGTCCTCAATATCATGGATATAATCTGCCACTTTCTATGGAACAATTAGCACTCCTTGCTCAATTCCCTGGAATTTGAATGCTGTGTACATACCTTGATGCAGGTTTCCAGTAGACTCTGAGTTCCATGAGGTGTCAACCCATCAAGTAGATTAGCTTGATTCTGACGCCGTCCAATACCAGGGGCACGCTTCTTTGCCGGGGGTTTTTTCTCGTCGGCCTTTTGCTTCTTAGAGCAATCAACGCAAAGCAGGCCTCCGTTCGGACCGGCCTTGCTATAGGGAGTCACGGTGAAACGCTTGTCGCAGATTTCACAGTTTGCAAGCTGACCCGGTTGCGGCCGGTTCTTTTCTTCGTGGATCTGTAGCGCAAGGAAGTCGTCGTCTTCCTCATCATCGTAATCGCCACTAAAGCGAGCCTTGCGTTTAGCAAACTCCTTACTATTTTTGATCCTTGCAATAGCTTGCTGGCGCTTGCGCTTTTTTATAGGGTCATCTAGTGACTCCAAGACCGATGGGGACCTAGATTCTTCAGCTGCATTGGATGATTCTTGTTCAGCTTGATCAGGCTGGCGCTGCGCCTCGGCTTGCCGGCGGTCCCAATCATCACGAATTTGTTGGGCTGAGATATTATTTGACTACAACCAGTCAGCCAAGTCATAATATGTAGGAGAACATCAACATACAGCAAGATAGTCGGTCAAGGCAGAGCGTCTAGTGTGTGCAGTGAGTCTCTGGGGGGGGATAAGGTTATGGGAAGCAAAACATACGGGCCCCGAATGCCCTGAGGCTGGTTTGGCTCTCTTGTCCGCCTTGCCTGTCTCCTTCCTGTCCTTTTTGACTTGTCAGTTTGGATAATATCACAAAGGATAGCACTACTCACATATTTGGAGGTTGTAAAGTGAGGCTCCAAGTCGGTCTGGGCCCGAGTCACTGGACCCGTGGCAATTTCGCGTTTCACTTAACGCGGTCTTATCTGAGATAAGAATTGGGCGATGGGGAAGACAGGGGAATAGGAGGGAATTATGCGGAAGAAGAGAGATGTAGAGACCTTTGATACTTGATGAATTTGGAGATGATGATTTGCCACCAAGAAAGAAAAGAAGAAAAGGAACTGAAAGGGACATCGGAAGATTCCGAGGAAAATATTTCTCTGGTTCAGGCACCTGCTGCCTCCCGACTGCATCCTCCTTTCATTTTCTTTCCATCTTCTCATCCTCCTCCTTTGTTTCCTTTGATCTCTCATTTATTTATTTACCTCTCTAATTTGCGGCTTATACCAGCTTTTATCCCATCTCCTGTCGTCTAGCGACTGATCACATTCGTACCACAAGCAAGCAAAGTCGCGCTTTTCTAGGTACATCCCCCATGTCACTTCCCTATATATTTTGAACGCGGCTAATGAGATCTGTCGTTATAGCTGAGATCCCACGCCCGGTTCCAGCCTCTAGTCTCATTACCGCCCTCTTTATATTCGCTTGGTTCCAATATGAGGCACAATCTGAGACCCAGAACCACAATCCCTGATTCAGACGATGATTCACAGTTCAGCGAGACGTCACCAAGAAATTCATCCCCCCTCCGTCGATCAAGTCGATCGGCACCTCTGCGAGCTGGTGGGTCATCCCTTTCTCGTTCTCGCCCTCGCGTCATCCAAGATTCCGAGGCAGATGAGGACGACTATGTCGTGGATTCGGTGACACCGGGTAATTCTGCTTCGGGCAGGATTGAGGTGGTGGTACCCATGAAAAATGAATCGCCCAGTGACTCCAATTCCCGGAGTTCGCTGGGGAATCTGACCACGGGCTGCAGTACCCCGGCTACTAGCGTTGGTGCTGCAGTTACTGAACCTGACACCAAGGTTGCGATAAAGACTTCGGCGCGTATCAATGCCGCTGATCGCGTAAAGAAACTACAGTCGAGCGCACTATCCCTTGGAGCTTCCCAAGGAGGAAGAAAACGATCCGCAGCGGCACTGGCGGAGGATACTGGTGCCTCCGATGTTTCACTAACTCATGCCTCCAAAAAAAGGGCGGTAAAACGGCCTATGGGTACTCTGTCTGTCCAAAATGATCTTGAGACTTCTGATGCGGCTCTGGCTCATGCCCTTCAAATGGAGGAATACGACTACCCGCGCCCGACAACAGAACAAGGTTCGCTCGTAGACAAATTCGTTGATGAACACTTGGAATACGACTCGGACCCAGATTCTAGACCAGTGTCCTTCTCTCCGTTGAGCCCTGAGCCACCTGGGTTACTTCATTCTGGCGTTGCTTCTTCGGATACATCAGAAGATCCTCTTGAGGACGGTCTCGATGACGATCTGCACGACTCTGAAGCAGATCTGCCCCCGAGCTGGGAAGAGCAGCGGAAAGCTCGCCGTGTAAGCCGAGGGTTCTTTTCCCACGTGCCTTCCATGACTAACCATCCCCTAGGTAGAAAAAGACCGAAAGAACCTTGTGTACAGGCATCCCACAGTTGGTACCATGTGGGATGTGCTCAAAGCACAGCCTATCATCCAGCCAAAGGAAGCCAAGCAACCTGTCTCTATAACTCGCAAACTCAAGCCATTCCAACTAGAGGGCTTGAACTGGATGATAGCTCAGGAAAAGACTGAATACAGGGGTGGTTTGTTGGGCGATGAGATGGGCATGGGAAAGACTATTCAAGCAGTTTCACTCATCATGTCCGATTTCCCCCAGTCTGACCCGACCCTCGTTCTCGTCCCACCGGTCGCTTTGATGCAGTGGGTATCCGAGATCAAGGAATACACGGATGGCAAGCTGAAGGTCTTGGTCTACCACAACTCGGACGCGAAAATCAAAAAGTTGACGCCGGCTGAGATTCGTAAGTACGATGTCATCATGATTTCCTACGCAAGTCTCGAATCCATTTACCGCAAGCAGGAGAAAGGCTTCTCTCGCGGTGCAACGATGGTCAAAGCAGACAGTGTCATCCACGCAGTCCACTATCACCGCCTCATCCTTGACGAGGCGCATAGTATCAAATCACGTACCACGGGTGTTGCTAGGGCATGTTTTGCCTTGGAGGCCAATTACAAGTGGTGCCTATCGGGCACACCCGTACAGAACCGGATTGGAGAATTCTTCTCCCTTCTGCGATTTCTACAAGTCAAGCCATTTGCATGCTACTTTTGTAAGCAGTGCGATTGCGAACAACTCCAGTGGACCTCGACTAAAGAGGGGCGTTGTACTGAGTGCTCTCACACTGGGTTTATGCATATTTCGATCTTCAACAAGGAGATTCTTAACCCAATTATTGAAGGGAAAACTCAGCGGCAACGTAAAGAGGGTCTCGAAAAGCTCCGTCTCATCACCGATCATATCATGCTTCGCCGGATGAAGCAACAGCATACAACGTCGATGGAGCTCCCACCTAAACGTATCATGTTACACAATGAATTTTTCGGTGAGATCGAACAAGATTTCTCACGCAGCATTATGACGAACTCGACAAGAAAATTCGACACCTATGTCAGCGAGGGTGTCATGTTGAATAACTATGCCAACATCTTCGGGTTGATCATGCAGATGCGCCAAGTTGCAAACCATCCCGATCTCATTCTGAAGAAAAAAGCGCAATTAGGGTTCAACGTTGCTGTATGCTGTATCTGTGACGAGCCCGCAGAAGATGGCATTCGGTCTCAGTGCCGTCATGAATTCTGTCGTCAATGTGCCAAGGACTACATTCAGTCATTCCAGGACGATAGCAAGCATGTTGACTGCCCACGGTGCCATATTGCCCTTTCCATCGATTTGGAACAACCTACCCTTGCCGAATACGAAGAGTCTGTCAAGAAGAATTCCATCATCAACCGCATCTCCATGGAGAGCTGGACCTCTTCCACCAAAATCGAGATGCTCCTTTATGAACTTTTCAAGGAGCGAAGCAAAAGTCACACCCCTAAATCTATCATCTTCTCCCAGTTCACATCCATGCTACAACTGGTGGAATGGCGGCTACGCCATGCCGGATTCAACACCGTGATGCTGGATGGATCGATGACCCCAGCACAGCGGCAAAAGTCCATTGAACATTTCATGACTAAACCCGAGGTTGAGGTTTTCTTAGTCTCTCTCAAGGCCGGTGGCGTGGCACTTAACCTCACGGAAGCCTCCCGAGTTTTTATTATCGACCCATGGTGGAATCCCGCGGCAGAATGGCAAAGCGCCGATCGCAGTCACCGAATTGGCCAGCAGCGGCCTTGTGTGGTCACTCGTCTCTGTATCGAGGACTCTGTCGAGTCCCGAATCATTCAACTTCAAGAGAAGAAGGCCAACCTCATCCGGGGTACCCTGAATAAAGATCAAGCGGCGGCATTGGAAAAACTGACCCCGGAGGACATGCAATTCCTCTTCCGAGGAACTTAGAGAAACCATTTTCTTTATACGCCACATTCGTCAGTCCTCGCGCAAGGAGTTGTCTTTTCCCCCATGATACTCATGACCTAATGCCTATTATCTTATTCTTATTTCGGTATGTGTACGATTATGATGTGTTCTAGCTTATTCTGGGTATCTTACTTTTTTTTTGCCTTTAATGTATTTCAAGTTACTTGATAGAGAAGATAAATATGTAAACATGCACAACATCAACATAATATAGGGCTGACCTCGGGACCCCCTGAAAAGAAGGCGCGGGAACCAGACAAAGCCCAATGACGTTATCCGGTGCCGCTAGGCAGGTCTTGGCAAGGGCTTGGCGGTATAATCTCTGTTGCCTTGCGCTCATCTTTCCTTATTGGGGGGCCCTTAGGGGAGACTTGAGGGAACTCACACGGTTCTTCATTTTGTAAGGCTGAAAAAGCTTGGACTCTCCACTCTCTTCTTCCCTTCCCTCTTCCATGACTATTATTCAGGTTTACTTATCTTTATCTCTGGGAAGAGATTTCCCACGTTTGTTTCCCCCCCTATACTCACCATGGATGACTCCCAACCCCAGCCATTGCCTGTCCATCCCGTCGACAAATTTGGCCCCAAACTAGTCGAGAAGGCTGACAAGATACATCGCCGGCTCACTACGAATGAAGAGTCAAAGCCTGCCGGAGGCTATGATCCCACTCCGTTTCCCCACGCCCCGCCAGGCTACACCCTCAAGATCACTTTCCATCGCGCGGAAGACCTGCCCGTCGCGGACTTTGGCAGTTTCTCCTCCGATCCTTATGTCGACGCGCATATGGTAGTCGACCTACCGACGCGCCACAAACAAGACCCCGACGTGCATTTCCGCACTCCGACCGTACGCAGGGACATAAACCCCATGTGGGAATGCGACTGGATCATCGCAAATGTTCCGGCTTCGGGATTTCAGTTGAAATGTCATCTCATGGACGAGGATCCCACGGATCACGACGATAAGCTGGGGATTGCTTTTATCGACGTTCCTGCACTTTCAGACGACTGGGCAGGTTTCAAGGAGAAGTCCTTCAAGGTTAAAAAGCGCTTTGGGAGCAAGCGCGTCTACGTATTTACTAATGTCTCCGCGTTTGCGACTGGTCACCGTAAGGAGTCCTGGTTGGTGGTCAGCATCGAATGTCTCGGAAAAACCCCCGGCACAGAGGGGGGTCATATGTACACTATCGGTCCTAACTTTTGGTTCAAACATTTTTCTCCTCTGATTGGACGACTGGCTGGCATCAAAGACCATGTTCAAAGCACAGATGGCAGTGGCAAGTCGATTACCCGTTACAAGTGTGTCTTCCTTCCCTTCCCCCCTGGGCCATCTATATACTGACTCCGAATAGTTTCCAGGCTATTGAGATGCAACTCACAGGCCCTGTACCTGCAGAGCTATACCATCGCTATGTAGAGTTCAGGCCCTTCGTGGCGGGAATGTTCCAGGCACAAAGTCTACGAGGGCGTATCCTGCATAAAACACTCCATCATCAGCACCAGCGCATCTACAATTTCGATCGTACTACCTTGTATGGGTCCTTTCAAAGGCCTTGCCGTGAACTCTCTCAGAAATTTTTGGAGTTTGCGCACTATGGCCAGGGTGGACGGATCTTCACCTATGTGCTCACCTTGGACGGACAAATCCGATTCACCGAGACCGGTAAAGAATTTGGCATTGATATGCTGAGTAAGCACACCATGCACAGTGACGTGTCTATCTACATCGCGTATTCGGGTGAATTCTTCGTTCGGCGGCGCAAGCATCGCCATCGCCGTAACTCCCCAGAAGGGCGTGCCGAGCGCGCAGAGAATGCAGAATATGCGGAGAATGAAGAACGTGCAGGGAATGCAGGTAATGCAGAGAACGCAGAATCGAGCACGGTGCCTACAGACGAGTTTCCTGTGGAGGAAGATGAGCACCACAACGAGGGCGAGGACCTGGGCCAAACCGAAGAAGGGATCACTATCTCAACCAATCCAGGGGATTATGAACTCTTTATTGATAACGACAGTGGAACTTACCGTCCCAACGGCGAGAAACTACCACTCTTACAGGAATTTATGTCCTCCAACTTCCCCGGACTCCACGTTACCACTCTGGATTGCCAGGCGGATGCGGAACGAATGGAAAATCTGAAGAACGAGCAGCGCGAATTCAAGAAGACCGCAGGAAATGTCATCACGTTCCTGCAGCAGAGCAGCGCGTCTTCACTGTCAATCTCCAGCTCGGAAGAGGATGAGCTCAATGAGCGCAGTGGTCAATCTAAGAAACGAGGAGATCTTTCTAGACGAGTCCACGAGATGCGCGATCTACGAGGACAGGTAATGCGGTGGGTAGAAGCGGATGAAAAGCCCGATGGCCATAAGCACAAGCATCGGTACTTCTCTGGCCGTGAGCGCCGCCCTGCTTCGACTGGTGCGATTCCCACTGAACCCAATCATGGGACAAGCGAAGTCGCGAGCTGATGCCCTGATTTTTTTGTTTTCTATTCTTCTCTTCTTTTCTATTCCCGGGTCTCGGGTTTGGAACCGAGTCTCACGACGTTCACGATTAATTTTTCATACCAGGTTGTTTTTCTTGATTTGTACAGTTGATCCTATTAATATAAGTTTGGCCTATATTTATAGCATTTTGAGTCAGAAGTGAGGCTATAGTCGTGTTATATCTAGTTATATGGATGTAGTCGCATTAGATGTTCTTGTTAAATAATGCCCTTGAACAAGTCCAAACCAACAGATGATTAAATGATATATAACAGATACAAATCGAACTATATAACTGAAACCAAATAAGAATATTTAAATAAAAAGAAGCTTCACACTAAATGGCACTATATGGGGTCGGGTGCCTGCGCATTTATCCGATCAACTTTCGCCCCTCCTTCAGATCTTTGAGCTCGCCCTCTCTCCCATCCCCTAGACACCTTCACTGAATGATTACTCGGTTCCTTCGCACACTTCAATACAAAGGCCATCCGACTACAGGTTCGCAGACCGTCGATGGCCAACGATTGGTCCCGCTACTTCGGTCCCTTTCTCGCGCCGTGACCTGATCCCTTTGCCATCATGGGGAATGTTGCCACCCGCCTTGACGATGCGGGGAACTTGTTTTTCAAGGATCAGAATCGTTGTGGGTTAAAATACCGGATCTGAACCTCTTGTCGATATGCTGATGAAATTTCAATAGTCGCGATCGCATCGGTCACGATAAGCAACTCACGACGTCGTCTTTTGACTCTATCCCCCAACGCGTTCCCGGCGGCAAGGTTCGTAGCCAAGCGCGATGCTGGCGACGATACTCCGATCGAATATATTCAGGTACGCGGTACCTAATATCATGTATCGGGTCTTCTAGCTAACAAGTCCCCTCAAACCGAACAGGACCCCGACACCCCCTCCACCGCTCCGATCCCGACCTTCATGCTACGCCTGTCGAACGACGAGGAGCTGATCTTCAAGTTTACCTTTATCATTCGTCAGATGAAGACTGGCAATGCTCCAAACTCTGTCAACGGTGTTTCAACGACTATGCCCGAGGTGGCAGACACTAGTCTCACGGGACTCACGTTCGCTCACGCATCCAACTCGAAGGAACTGGATAATCTGATCACAAGAGAGTTCCATGCGAACCCTAACCTTCAGAATAACTCTAATGTTCAACTGATTGGAGATTACTCCACTGGGGGTACCCCGTCCGTGTCGTTCGAATGGTCATGGCGATGGAAGCCTCCGAAGGTAACAGAGGACAAAGGTGGCGGTTGGCGCAACAGCTGCAGCTTCTTGGATTACGATCAAAGAACAAACCGCCTTAACACTCTCGCCCATTTTTCCTTCTGGGTGCACAACTCCTTGCGTCCTCCGCCGAGCCCTCAGATCTCATCGCCACACCTGGAGTTACCCGTCTTTCCGCGCTCTCGGATTTCATCGACTCAATCCGTTATATCTCACTATAGCGATGCCGAATCGACCGTTAATCCATCCATCACTCCACCTGAGCCAGTGGAGAAGTCTCTCCCACCTCCTCCCCCGCCGTCCGCGCCTCCTCCCCCACCACCAGCCAAGGTAGATCTCCCACATTCGCGGGCAGGTGATGAGATGAGCGGAGTGGAGGATGGACCATTGTTCCGGGCGACTATGAAAGCGCTAGAGTCGAAGACAAGCAACATGCGAACCAAAATCAAGAAGGTGCTCAAGAAAGCCGAGAGCGCGCAGCTAGCGCAAGCCAATTGCAATGAGGCCATGGAACAGTTCCTAACGTCATTGAATGATGCGTCTACGTCTAATGCAAATGCTATTCAGCCCGCGTTAGATCATTACTTCGAGAAAATTGCTCGGCAAATTCTGAACTACGAGCAGCTCAACACGGTGCAACTTCAGAAACTGGTGATTGATCCTCTGGTCAAACTATACAACAACGATATTAAGCAAGCAGAAGCCAAAAAGAAGGACTGGGATGAAGAGAGCCGCGACTATTACGCTTATGTCAGTCGGTATTTGGGCCAGCGACAGGATTCGCTGAAAGAGAAGAAGCGTGCCGAGAGCGATTCGAAGTATCAAGCCAAGCGGCGAAATTTCGAACTGAGGCGATTTGATTACTCCTCCTTTATGCAAGATCTCCATGGAGGTCGCAAAGAGCAAGAGGTTCTCTCACATCTCACCAAATATGCGAGTTGCCAGGCCAAGAATTTCCTGTCAGCCGCCAAAAAGGTTGAAGGAATGACCCCTCAGCTGGAAGCTCTTATTCACGAGGTGGACCAGGCCGACAAGGAGTTCCAATTCCAGCGCACAGAGCGCGAAGAGAAGCGCCGGGCTCTGGAGAATGGCAGTAACCCATATCTTGAGCCCGACGTAGTGGTTGGTACAACTAGTGTGCCTCCTATCCCTCCTGGGACTGCCAATAGCGGCCCTTCTACCGAGGTGGAGCTTGGTAGGGCTGATAGCACAGGCTCTCAGCTTCGAGGAGTCATTAGCAACACCTCATCGATTTCGTCTCAAGCAAATGCAGGACCGGCCGCACCAGCTACAGGAATCAGTGCACCCGCGTCAAACTCGACGGTGGCTGCTAATGTGGGCCAGAATCGCTTCAAGGGTATCCGGGATCTCGAGGAGCACAACAGCGGATCTGATCGGACAAGTAGCCAACAGCGCAAAGAAGGCCTTTTGTGGGCACTGTCACGTCCAGGATCTCACATCGATCCGAAGGGTATCAACAAGCAAGCATGGCACAAGTAAGTACAAGCGCAGGAATGGTTGTACAACTTCTAATTTTATCAGATTTTGGATTGTTTTGGATCAAGGGAAATTATCCGAGTATAGCAACTGGAAACAAAAGCTGGATCTACACATGGACCCCATCGATCTGCGCATGGCATCAGTCCGTGAAGCTCGAAACGCGGAACGACGGTTCTGTTTCGAAGTGATCACACCCCAGTTCAAACGTATTTACCAAGCGACATCCGAGGACGACATGTCCAATTGGATCAGGGCTATCAACAACGCGCTGCAGAGTGCGGTTGAAGGCCAGGAGACTCCGCCTCCCTCCGCATCTAGGAATGATAGACCTACCAGTCGGGATATTGGTTCCGCCCTAACAGGGAAAAGCTCGTCTGTGTCTGGTCACCACTCCCATTCCTCCTCTAGCTCAGCCAGCAACGCTGGCGTCATCCGCCGAACAACCGTCGGTGCGCGCCCAAGCTATGTCCGTCCTGATAGCAACTTTGAAGAGAATCCTGCAAAGCTTCTGCAGGTTGTACGGGATGCGGATCAAGGCAACAACTGGTGTGCTGATTGCGGATCATCATCCAAAGTTGAATGGGTCTCCATCAACCTTGGAATCATTCTCTGCATTGAATGTAGTGGAATCCACCGCTCTCTGGGCACGCATATATCCAAGATTCGCTCTCTCACATTGGATGTACATTCCTTCTCGAATGATATCGTCGAGATTCTCCTGCAGATTGGCAACCGCGTTAGCAACATGATTTGGGAGGCGACCTTGGATCAAACTCTCAAGCCGAGCGCCAGTTCTACACGAGAGCAACGGTTGAAATTCATCACCGCCAAATATGTTGATCGAGCCTACGTTGAGAATCTGCCTTCACCACGTTCTCGCTTCGCGACGGCCGACGAAACGCTCCTCGCGTCAATCAAACAGAACGACATCCAAGGCGTCCTCTACGGTCTCGCCCTGGGTGGCAACGTAAATATAACCGATCGCTCTCGCAACACTCACGCAACCTTCCTAGCCCTTGCCGCAGCCGATCCTGCGTCCCCAGGCGCCCCACCAACCACTCTTGCCGCGAGATCTAGCGCAAAAGCCATCCCATTCCCTATCGCCGAGCTGTTAGTCCAAAACGGCGCTGAGATCCCGCCACAACCTCCTTCCATTCCTCTCTCCCCCGCAGCCAAGCTGTATCTCAGCCAACGGACCGCCCGCACATCTGCCTTCAGCGTGCCTCCACCGCCGCTAGGTGGAAAGTCCTACGCAAACGATACCCTGGGCTCTCTCCCAACTATCCGCAGCAAGGAGTCTTCCTCTTCGTCAAACGCTTCAACTGTCACAGACAGCAGAGACAAAGACAGAGAGAAGCTCTCCAAAAGAGGAAGCGCTGGCGCTCGCTTTGCGGGAAAAGTGGCTTCACTTGGAATTGATCGATAAAGGGCTCCTCCCCGCGCTTCATCTTGTCTATACCCTCCCCGTCTAGCACATCAGCCGCGCCGCCCGTAATCGTAATTATATCAGTGTTTAATGAGATTCCGCATGAAAATTCCCCTCTGATGATGACTTTTTTTTGATTTTCCTGCCGCTCTTTGTTTCCGTTTTTTGATGGTCAGGATATTTATTTTTCGCCCTTTGGTTCTATGAGGGCCAGGCGGTGGTTTCTTTCTCTTCTTTTTCACTTCTTCATGTCAGTTCTTGATACTAGCAGCTCAATCCTGCTTTTGGATGGTTGCGTACCACTTTCACACATTATTGTCTTCTAAGACAAATTCAAATATGGGTCGGGTCTGTTGCCTTTGCCCTGCGTTTTGATCATTCTATTTTATCATGTGTAGTTTCGTCTCTCCATTCTGGGAGACTTGTACTTTTCGAGCTTTGGAAACCTCGGTCGGATCTACTACATATCACAGTGATCAATCCTGGTCATGCAGAAACCAGTTACCTAACAGTGGCAACACCAACCATCGCCTCCACACTTTGACCGCCAGCAGCTGACGAAATCTCGATCATAGAGTTGAAACTGCACATCCGTGGGGCTGTGGCGACTAGAAGTGCCCGAGGAAGGTAAGACCTGCAATTTTCTACACGGAAGTGTAAGCACCTACTTTTCACTACATCCAAATCGAGACGGATATATGGATATATGGATATATGGAGATGTGGAGGTGGAGATGTGGTGGCTGTGAAGAGTCGATACATTGCAACAATTCGCTCTCGGTCAATCACAATATGAAGGATGGGGAAT